ATCAGCGCTGCGCCACAGCCACAGGGACGGCAGTGGAGCGCCACCGATGGAGGCCCCCGAGGCCGTCCCTCCCCACTCAACATGCACAGAGGACACAACAGCGGCAGCAAGTGGCCAAACTGGCCAGTGGACGCCGGAGCACTGCTGTCCGTGGCTCGGGGGCAGGACGTGCTGGGCAGACAGAGCAGAGTCCACACCCCAGTCTCTGATTTCCAACGAAGGCGCTTCCCCAGCCCACACGTTCCCCACCCCCGGTCTGCAGTGAACGCAGCAAAAACACAGAAGGCAATTATTTCTCTCATTTGTCACCATTAGATGTCACCACAGTTAATAAAAGTTCCCTCCAGAAGGCGTCATAAAAGAGAGGAATCAAGCACGGGAATGAAATCAGCCGTGACTGAGGGTTCCGTGCCTGGTCTCGCACAAGCTCGGTGCCCTCCCCACGGGACACCTGCAGCATTTTAAGTGACTGCAGGCACGCCCCTGCGTTAGGGAAGTAAGGTTTGCGAGAGGAGGTCGAAGGTCAGCACATCCCACGAGCTACGAGGAGCAGGCTTTGGCCCGCTGGCTCCCACCTGCCTGCTCTGAGGGTGACTCCTGTGAAGATCACCTGTGTCCCGTGTCCCGGGCAGGAGCAGCCTCCCTGCTGAGCAGCTCGGAGGCGGGTGTGCATGTACGTCCCCCCGCCCCCCCACCCGCCGTGTACCCCGTGACTCTGAGACCCCTCGCAGCGCACGCGGCAGGTACAGGGCACGAGCTGGAGCGGAGGCCTGATCTGCCAGCTCCACCGGGCCTGAGTCAGAAAACACGACACTCCCTCCCCTGGAACCCTCCCTGCCGGCCAGGCCCCTGGAGCTCCGGGACCCGCGTCTGCTGTGTGACCCTCTGTCCGGCTCAGGCACCTTGGCAACGATTGCGCTGTCTTATCGTCGCAGCTGAAGAAGCACTGACAGACATGGTGACAGCATAGCCCCGGAGAAAGGGAGGTGCTGTGCCAGGCGGGCATCGCCCTGCCAGCTCGGCAGCCTGCAGCCTGGCACTCCCTGTGGTTGTCACTCACGGCCGTGAGCCCCAGGGAAGCCGCGCATCGCTCAGAGGTCATTCCGCACGTGGACCAGGGGGCAGGCGACAGCACCTGCCTGCGGGCGGCGGGGGGCCAGGCAGGAGAAAGGGACAAGCGCCTGCGTGGGCCACGCGGACTGTACTCCCTGCCACGCGGACTCAGTCCAAGCCCGTCTTTCTCTAGGGCCCTGAGGCCGTGACCACTTGGGCTATTTCATCACGGAAACCACGGCAGCTGCTCGTCCACACCCAGCACGTGGAAGCCCCACTTAGAGGGTAGACGTGACTTCACCCAAGTCGCTGAGTCACCAACAGGTCCGGGACACAAACCAAGGCCCCTGACCCAGAGCCCAGGCCCTGCAGCTGCACCTCCAGGTGCCTCCACTGAAATGGGCGTAACCAGCCCTAGAGTCGGGCAGCCAGCCCGGCCTTTCCTGATGCACAGAGGTCCCGAGGCCGGAGCCTGGCACAGCCCGGCCTTTCCTGGTGCACAGAGGTCCTGAGGCCGGAGCCTGGCACAGCCCGGCCTTTCCTGGTGCACAGAGGTCCCGCCGAGGCCGGCTGGCACAGCCCGGCCTTTCCTGGTGCACAGAGGTCCCGAGGCCGGCACCACCCTCCCGTTGGGCAGGTGGGGAAGGATGATGCAGCTACAGGCCCATCTCTCCACGGGTCCCACCCCAGCCCGTCGGAGGCCGGCACCATCCTCCCGTTGGGCAGGTGGGGAAGGATGATGCGGCTACAGGCCCATCTCTCCACGGGTCCCACCCCAGCCCGCTCTACAGCTGCAGAGGAGCCGCGACCAGGGACGAGGTGTGCACTCACTGGAAGGCGTGCGCCTCACGCCGGCGGCCGGCTCGGCCTTCTTGGGCTGGCTGCTCAGGGTCTTGCCTTTTCCTGCAGCCCCGCTGGATGCGAGGGGGGGCTTTTTACTCTTCAACTGTTGAAATAAACAGAAGGAAGTTAAAACAAACGATCCACAACACCAGTGTTTTTGTTCTGCGGGACACGACTTCCCTCTGTGACCCTGTAAGTAGCATCTAGCACTGACAGAAAAACTCAGGGTGGCAGGAACAACTTGGCTCCCAAACCCTGGGAGCTGGGGTGCCCCGGAGGCCGAGGTTCGGGCGTGAGGGACACAGGGCACCCTCGGCAGGAAAGCAGAGCTACATGTGCGCTGAGAGCTGCGATGGAGGTGGGCACAGGGGGAGCCGGGCAGCTGGGCTGAGACGCTGGGAGCCTGCGCTTCGGACAGGGGGAGGCCACTGCAGCTGGTTTTTCTGCCAGCGCCTCTGTGGGGACTGACACCCCACCGGGCACATAACTACGCTTATTCACTGCAGGGTCTCAGGAAGGAAGCGAGAAAGGCGTGACGTAGAAACAGTTTAAACTAAATTTTGACCAACCACAGGCTTTTAAAAATTCCATAGCATCGCCACTTCTTGGGTGGCTGCAGGCCAGCAGGTGCATTTTCTCAGCGATGGACAGTTCTATGTGCAGACATGCAGCTGGCAGGAGGGGTGAACTGTGGGTGTCCAGGCCCACGCTCCAAGGTCGTGCCCGCCTCCTGCGCTGTGGGCCGGGGCCTAAATTTGGCTCCGTCACTCAGCTGCTGAGCGAGCCACGACCCCTGAGCCCCCACTTAGTAACCACCGGACGTCTGACCACCGCATTCAACGAGGCCGGAGCACTGGCTCCCACGTCCGGCCTTCAGGCTCACTGGACAGACTCTGAGCAACTGTCGTCAAACATCAGAAGCAAACAACCAGCTGGTGTGGCTCAGTGGTTGAGTGCTGACCCAGGAACCAAGAGGTCACTGAATAGATTCCTGGTCAGGGCACATGCCCAGGTTGTGGGCTCCATCCCCAGTAGGGGGCATGCAGGGGGCAGCCAATCAATGTTTCTCCCTCCCCCTCTCTCTCTTTCTCTCTCTCTCTGAAAATCAATAAAAACATATTTTTTAAAAAAAAATCAGAAGCAAACAAAAGCTGTGCTGTGATTCTGGCGAGAGCCTCGGCCGGGAGGACTTCTGAGTGCCACCTGGTCTGACATCCCCAGGGCTTCCCTGGCTCGTCACTGTGTAAGGGTTCCCCCAACACAGGGCACAGGGAGCAACCCCTCCCGTGCCCCTCTGCTCTAGGGGCGCTCGCACACACGGGTGCAGGGCTGCATGCAAAGCATGAAAGTCTGAGGCTGACAGAGCAGGAAAACACATCAGTATTTATAGAGAAATGCTACCGTTTGCTACAAAGATGAGGTGGGACAGTCTGACAGCAAGGCTATTTCCCATTTAGGAACCGATAATCCCAGTCCTCGTCACCTACCTGGGGTCAGGGAGCACTTTTATGCCCATTTGGGAAAAACACCGCAGTGTCCTGAATGAGCCTAGTTTACGTTTAAAGGTCAAAAAGCAGCTACTCCTGGGGCCACCTGTGCTGATGTTTAACGGAAACATTAAAAACACTTGCAGCTCAAGAATCCTCTGCCAAGTTTTACCGTCCCGGTCCTTTAAGTCTCTGCCTTTAGCAAAATTCCCAGGGAATATCCCGAGGCCGGAAAGAGCCGGTGTGCAGGGAGAGTGGAGCCCACAGCAGGGCCGGGGAGGGGTACGGAGGCAGCTCCCCTGCCGACTGCTTTCCCAGGTGAGCCTCGCTCACTACCAGTGGGCATCACTGCAAAACTCGGAGGGGGGCTGTGGCTAGAGGGGGTTCTAGAGGAGGAGGGAACGCGATGCTGTACCTGGGAGCCGAGCCCGAGAGACGCCCTCCCCACAGAAGAGGTGTTAGTGACAGACGGGGCGGGAGGCAGCCCGCAGGACGTGGGCTGCTTGTAATGGTTACAGGACAGGGTGTCGGCAGGCGGCCTAGCAGCCTTCCTGTCAGCAGGCGGGTAGCGCGCAAAGATTTTCGGAGACGGCAAGTTATCGTACAGGGCTGCGTTATCGTACAGCACCTCTCCTCCCGGGCCTCCATGGCAGGAAGCGGCCGAGCCGCCGTCGGGGTCCCACTGCAACACACACAGCTGCGCGGTTAGTGCCTCGGCCACAAGCAGAGCAGACGTTAGCGCGCGGACACGGTGTGAGCACCCGCACCCCCGTGCCCGCTGCTGTAAAGCACACGCGTTCGCAGGCGAGCTGGCCGAGAGGCCTGCCCCGCTTCCGGGACTTAGGGACAGCCTTCTCCTCCCGTGGGTCGCCCCAGAGTCGCTGGCTTAGGGAGTGTTTGTTCTGTCTGGTAAAGCAGGAAAAAAAGGGCTGATGTGACATTTCTTTAGATTTTGGAGTCCCCAGGTCCAAAAGCAGAGCCACGTGCTGGCGGGGAAGGAATGCCGACGGGGACACGGGGATGGGGCTCGGGCTCTGCCCAGCACACGTGTGCAGACCCAGCGAGCACCTTCTTTTACTTTGCGGTCATTACCGGGTTCTAGACACTGCCTCTAGCTCTCACAGGATCTCAGGAAGCAGGAGGAAACTGAGGCAGAGGCTCCCAAGCCCGGGCGCTGCCTCTGTGCCCCACCCCCGCCCCCGGGGTTGCCGAGGGGCTGGACTTCAGAGCCTGGAGCCAGTGCATCGGTGACGCGTTTATGGGGACTGTCCGCCTGCCCCCTGCCCCCGCTCTGTTAGGGCTGATTAAAGTGCCGCGACCAAAACAGTCTTGAACAGAAATCCAATCATCACAGAAAACAGGAGGTTTCCAAGTAGAATTGACATAATGGCACTATTTTGACGAAAACCTTTCCCTAAAGGACTGAAATAGCCACAGGCCACTGGAGGGCAGGGACAGGAAAGTGCACATTCACCCAGCACTCAGCAGGCTGAGCCTTTTAAGTCTTAAAGGTCTCCAGGAACTGCTCCGCATTCACACACACGGAGAAATGTTAGCTCCTGGATGATGCTTATTTCAGTCTTTATGTTGTTCTCCACTTCCGCACGGTGATTACAGCCTTTGTTATAAAAATAGGAGCAGGGCCCAGACCTCACGGCAGGCGTGCTCTCACTCCTCACCATCGCTGCAGCGGCTATTTTGGTGATGCTGGGACCCAGCTACGAGCTAAAAATAGGGGGACGTGCAGATAAACTCAGACGCGAGCGCCTCAAAATGACAGGCACGCATGCATTTGTCCAGGGCGATTACAGGGTCTAGACTAGACTAGCATTTCCCTAAAATACCAAGGGACTGAGTCACACGGGTAATTTAGAAACTACATAGAAGTTTCTAGATTAAAAGTGGGTGTGTTCCCCCGTGTGCGTGTCAGAGACCCTCCCCGAGACTCACTAACGCCTGCGTTGGGCCTCAGGGGACCCCGAATGGCTGAGAGTTACTGCAAATGAAACGCCAACAAGTGCGGTTTGGGGTCAAAAGTGCGAACTTCATAAACAGAGAAGAGCAGCCCTCCCCAGAGAGACGGCCTGGTCCCAGCGCCCAGCGGCGGGGAACTGGGCAGGGCAAGGCCGCTGCCAGGACGCCCCGTGAGCCAAAGTGCCAGGAGGACTGCACAGGGGACGCGTCCAGCTCCTGCCCACAGGGTCCCAGGACAATCCCTCCCGCAGAGCCTCTGCGCAGGTTCCCAGGGCCTGGAGCAACCTCGTCCCTGTGGGCCTGAGCTGCACCTGGACCAGGACAATGGGACAGGCTGGGGGGGGGGGTGCCCGTGACTCCCCCACCCCCACCCTCCTCACGCCCTGTGGCAGGTGTGGACTGGGGAAGGGGTGAGGGCCTTGGAGAGAGACTTAGAGGGAGGTGTGGGTTTCCTTTCTGAACGAGCTGCCGGGATCAGGGCTGGAGACGCAGACCGCTCGCCCTCTGGAGGGGACTCTGGCGGCTGCACGGACAGGGCCAAGCCGGGTCAGGGGAAGAGAAGCTGGTGGCTGCGGGGCACATGCGGCCGGAGAGCAGGGCCCACCTTGAAAACGGCAGTGACCAGGACGAGGCTCAGGACCGGGCTGTGAGCCTCTCCCTCGAGTCCATGGCTCAGCTCACCTGTGACCACCCGGAGGCCGGCACAGAGCCGACCAATAAACGGGAGTGATGTGCGGACACGTCAACAAACGCTTATTGATGAGTTCCGCTATTTGTACGTGGGACAAGGCAGCAAAAAGCTAAGGCCACACCGCACCTGCTCAGCGCCAGGCACCGGCCTGCTCTCCAAGGCCCCGGAGGGAGACGGTCCTGAGCCTGTAGCATGGCCCGCATCTATGGCAACATTTCCTCCCCCTCCCTCCCCGCCTCCTCCTCTCCCCGCCTCCCCCTCTCCTTGCCTCCCTCCCTCCCTGCCTCCCTCCCTCCCACATTTGCCTCCTATGGTGCTTGCTCAGCATGTGTGCCCCCGGGAATGACGACTCCCTTGTAACTGACAGCGCACCACACTTGGACTTACCCAAGGCTCGTACTCTAACGTGTTCTCCTCAGTCAGTGCTTAGGGTGTGCGAACGTTTAATTATGAAGGGGACATGGAACCCTGAAGGAGAAACTGCCTACGGGTGTCAAATGCCTACGTGTCCAAATGCAGATTAAGATGGACAACTTGTCAGAAACAAGGACAGGAGAGATGGGATGGAGCTGTCATCACGTGTCAGCCGATGTCCGACAGCGACCGCTCCCTGGGGCTGCCCACTCACCGAGCCGTTCACGCAGGGAGCGTCATCGTAGTGCAGCGCCGTCCCGCTGGGGTGGGCATAGCCGTTGGGGGTGCCCCCGAGGTAGGGGTTGGTGGAGATGACACGTCTGTTCATGAAGCTGAAAGACAGGACGTGAGGTAACTCCTCCCGCCGGGCAGCAAGACTGGCCTGAGCCCTGACCTGATGCTCGGCCCATCAGAGGCTGTGCAGGGAGCCTCTGTGCCGGGAGGCACTGGAGCCACAGCCGCACACCCCACCTAGAGGAGGCGAGGGCAGCACGCCTGCAGGACCGTGCCAGGGGCGGCCACCACCCTGCAGGACCGGGCCAGGGGCGGCCATAGTGTGTGCAACACGACCCTGCAGGACTGTGCCAGGGGCGGCCACAGTGCATGCAACACCGCCCTGCAGGACCGTGCCAGGGGCGGCCACAGTGCATGCAACACCGCCCTGCAGGACCGTGCCAGGGGCGGCCATAGTGCGTGCAACACCGTCCAGCAGGAC